TGCATGGGAGGGGTAGCACCCTGGGATCTGTGTGTGCCTGGGCCAGCCTTCCCCCCTCCCCCCTCCCCCGCCAGTGAACTCTGCTCCCCGCTGGCCAGGTCCTCCAGGCCAGCCCTGCTTCCCACCAGCTGGTCCATCCCCCTGTCCCTGATCTCCCCCGGTTGGTCCCCTTCCCCTCTGATCTGAGATCAAGTGTGTCCGGTATTTTTTAAAACCATCTGGTAACCATAAGGATAATTAAGCTCTGGACTAGGCTTTCTAACTGTGGGTTGGAACCCCAAAGTGGGTCACAACCCCATTTTAATGGGATCACCAGTGCTGGCTTAGATTTGCTGGCACTTGGCCCTGGGCACCAGGTCTCAGGTTACAGGGCCTGAAATTCTTGGGCTGTAATCCTTTCCCCTCCTAAGGCAGGGTGGTGGGGCTTGTACAGACTCAGGCTTTGGGAGTGATGTAGTAATTTTTGTTGTCAGAAGGAGGTTGTAGCACAATGAAATTTGAGAACCCCCAGTCTAGACTGCAATATCACAGGGTGCTGACTTTATAACTTTAAGGTCCCTTCCAGCCCTACATTTCTATGATTTTATAATCCAGTCACTCTCCAACATTAGAGTTTTAAAGAAGTTTTGGGATTTGTTGTATAGAAATCTCACTCTGCTTAGCACTATGGTAAACACACTATTAGAAATCCCTCTTTTCATTAAAGACTAGAATTACCCAGCCTGTTGTGATAGTTGATATATACTCTGTTGGCTTGGTGAGGGAAGCAAAAGCAGACCTGGCTGCCATCTTGCCCATGAAAGACCTGCTGCTGCAACAGTTGTATCCTCACTGCTCCGCTCCCACCTTGTGCCATCTATGCACACCATGCACTCACACCTGCTGGAGAGCAGCGTGGAGCCACTGGAGACCATCATCCAGGGGCCGGCAAGCTGGATCCTGGCCAGCCTGCCCAGACCTGCTGGCCGGACTTCCTGTACTTCTGGTGAGCTGCGGCCGCCATTCCACACTCGCTCATGGGCCGCTAACTTATTCCCTGTTTGGAGCAGCATCTGACTGTCACATGGGAATGACTGTTATACTAAACAAACTCAGCTACAGACACTGGAGCTGGGGTCCCTGCTCTGCAGGCAGAGCTCTGTCCGAGTGGGATAAGCCTAGGAGGGAGGGGACTGGACTACTCTCTATTCCCTCGTGGCCTGGCCAGGGGAATGGGCAAACCTGACCCAGCATTGTCCCCAGCTTCAGAGGAAGGTGTGGCTAGGAGACTGGGAGCTGACCTCTGGGGGAGCGCACTGGCTGCTGGCCTCACCTGCAGGTTCTACAGAATAGTCAAGTAACCGAAAAGAATTCATGAGGTTACTCAACTATTCAATTAACCGCTATTTAACATTCCTACTCAATATTGCCAGCTACAGGAAGCCCCAGCTTGAGAACAGTCCCAGTCAGGTTAATCCACATACATGCAAGATGCATACAATCCCAAACAGAGAGCAACCTGAACATAACTGAGGCTGTAGAAGGTTAGCCACCTTGGTAACTGCCACAGCATGAAATGAAATACTCCTGTCTCCTGACTGGGGTTTGTAATACTCTTAATGGAGCATACACTGTTTCCAAACACAGAGCTTGGTACTCCCGTCCAGGCAGACAGACGAAATGACTGTCTGCCCCCTGCAAATTCGAAGTGGTATTTGATGTCGGGTCATTGTTATAAGTGGAATAACACAATTCATTTGGCTAATCTGGGATGAGTGAGCCTTTCTGGGTAACATGAATGCTGAAAAGGAGATGGGGGAGGAAAAGTGCTTCTGCCTTCCTGAAAAAAATCCAGTTACTTCTCCAGAAAGAAGAGCATGGGACTGAGATGGTTACTATATGGACAGCTCCATGCAGGTGTTTGTACTGTGATGAGCTGTCTGTAGGACCCTCACAATCAGTGTTTTTAATCAGCATCTCAGCAAAATAAGTTATATTGGCAAACCCCACATTTGCCTGGCTTCTGCTTCCAGCCCCACTCTTATTTTTCCATTCCACATAATCCCTGCTTTTCTTCCACTTCCAGCACTCACTTGGCTCTTCATCATCTCCTTCCTCTTCTCAGAGAGCCAGGCTCCCCATCTCTCACTATCCAGAATCCACCTTCCTTTTACTGACCCTACTTTCCTCTCTAGCCTCCCCACCCTCCCAAAGCTAGCACCCTGCACCTCAACACCAGCCTGGAACCCCCTCCTGTGCCCAAATTCCTTCTAGTTGAAAGCTTCAGCAGAACCAGTTTTCCTGTGGAACTGGACTTGGGCTTTAAAATGCAGTTTGTGTGCAGGGTTTTCCTGCAATGAGGTGGATAGGCAGGCAGGCAGGCACATTATACTCTAAATCTCCCCCAGCATGACTAACCAGGAACCCCTCCCTTCTCCTTTCATGGAGCCCCTGGGGAGAACAGCACTGGGACTGTAGTGATCAGTCACAGGTATTCACACTTCTCCACCAGGGAGAAGGGCTATTGCAATAAGGATGCAAAGTAATTAAGGGGCTGGACAGTCAGGTCTCAGCTGAGCTCCTTTGGCACTAGAAGATATGCTAATCTTAGACAACTTTGGCATTTGCTTAAAGTGCTGCTTTCTCCTGCCTCATTACCATTGGGATACTGCTGCCCCTTTCCCATGCTATTGGCTCCTCTGTTTTTGCTATTCCTCACCTCTCCCCTTCTCTTGGAGCTCTTAATTTTCATCCTACCTGTTGCTGCTGACTATCCCTGCCCTTTCATCTCTTTGTCCCTGCTATCAATCATTCCAACGCGTGGGAATCAAAGGAACCACGACCTCTTGCCTGCTACTGTAGGTAGCATAGGGGTGCAGTATAAGTGAACTAGTCTTTATTATTGTATTATAATAGATCTCCTATTAATTGCTTTTGCATTGCTTTGCGTTGCATTAATTGCTTTAGAATGTATAGTAATTGTTTTTAAGGCTTGTGAAACTTAACTATGTTAACTGCTTAAAGCTTGCAATAAGTAAGAAAGTGATTAAATTTCCCTTGAGTGTCCTGCTTTCCCTTGCATCTAAAATAAACCAAACCACACAACACTGAGAGGGACGAAGAAGCAGAGGATTCAGTGGGTCAGGACTGAGCAGCACTAGGTGGGACACAGGGCTGAAAAAGCAGGCAAAGGATAGCAGGTCACATTGAGAGGTATCAACAAAGCTGAGGGAAGAAAAGAGAAATTTGCACTAGAAACAAGCACAACACAGGCAGACAGTCAGTCAGTGGCTCATTTTCTCAAACGGCATGACTCACTGAGTATAAATGTAGCTCCCAAATCTGCAAGCCTACTCAGGTCAGACAAACAATGAAACCATTTTGGAAGCATTTCAGCTAGCAGAAACATTTTAATAGAGCTCTGACTGGTCAAGCCCTCTCAGCCCTGGATACATACCCAGCTCCTCCAGAGATGGGACTCCGTATGTGTCGTCATGATTATCCTGGATCTCAGACTTGCACTTCTCCATCTGCTGGCTTGTTATGCTGCTCACTGGCTTCTTGGGAAGCTCCATGCGGCTAATGATGGTCTGGAAACGCTTGTAGGTGAGAGGTGGTTTGTGGCCATTCAGCTCGATTATTCTAGACATACAGGCCCAGGAGACAGAGTTAGAAAACAACTTTATTCTTATAGGAGGGGTGAGGAAGAACACTCAAACACCAGCCTCCTTGGACTCCAGGTATTTTCTCTGCATAGAGAAATTCCAGACAGATTTGCCCTCCTCCATTTGGACCTACCCGTAAGCAAGGTATTAATATTAATCTCCATGCTAACCCCACTTCCAGGAAAGACATGCATCAGCCCCCATGCCATGGCTTGAAACCAGAAAAATCCAAGCCCCTAACCAAACTGAGAAAGACAAGTCAAACTATTTTCTATTGAGCCCTCAGATGATAAATCCTAGTATATTTGCCCCCATCTCTTTCTTCACTAGATAGCAAAATCCAAGCTATTATAATTTCAGTGCTCCCCACTCATCTTTGAAAAATCCTAGACTGTGCTTGTTTTTGTTTCCTCCAAACTAAAAAAAAAAAAAATCCCAGTCTGTCTGTCACATCTCTCTCCTCCAGCCCCACAGAAGGGATACTAGTATGTCACTCCTCTCCTTTCCTGGGAATAGAAAGATCCCCATCATATGATCACAAGCAATTCTGCAACATACTTAGTACGCCATTTACTTTTTAGTGTTTTAACCCATTTCAGCTCAAACCTGGAGCACAAGTTGCAAGGTAGCCACAACTCCCTTCTATCTTCCTAAGCAACAACAATCTGCCCAAGTTACTATTGGGGAATAAAATGTGATGCCACCCAGAACAGCTCTCTCCCTCCCCTGGGGAAAGAGCTGAAAAGAATTTTAAGAAAATAATGTGGCAGAGTCTCAGAGTAGAAGCAAGGGCATTTTTCTTCAGCACTGTCTAACACAGTACCAAGAGCAGAAGAATTAATAGGAAAGCAGGGAATACTCAGACTTCCAGGTTTATATAAAGCAGCAACAACCAAGTCAGCAATCCTGCAAGAGCATTTACAGCAGCTGCATTCCTCCCCACCCTGACAGTCAACAACTTATGCAAGAGGCTGAGCTTGGAGCATATTGTTTCAGGAGAGGCCACATGCCTCCCTTCCTTCTCCCCTCCCATCATCTGCACGTGTACTGGGGAGGAGCTCCATGCTAGCCTGGGGCCTTCACAGAGGAGCTAGTCACATGTGATACTGTGTGACCCATCTTCCAAGCTCTACAGCAGCCAGAAGGCAGGAAGCTGCTTCCTAATTAGTCTAGCTGCTGCTGGGATCTAGGTCATAAATAAATCTCTCATGCATAGGGGAGAGGAACAGAGAGCTTTTTAAAGGAAGAGCATTAAAGAGAGGTTTGTAACAGAGACTCCCACTATTCCTAATTATTTCTTCATGTAGATAAGGTAAAGATACAAGGTATGTCTACACTGCCCACATTGCAGCACAACTGTGGCAGCACTGTGATGTGGACAGTGTAGTCACACTTTATTGCCAGAAAGAGCTCTCCTGGGGTGCATCTACATAGCACCTGAAACGCAAAATAAGATACACCAATTTTATTTTGAGTATTTCAAAATAGCTTATTTTGTCATTTGGCGCGGTCTACGCAGCACCAAATTTTGAAATACAGGCGGCCCCCAACTTGCAACACAATTGGTTCCCAGGCCATCCCTTACTCTTCATACAATGAGGTTTACAGGGATGGCAAAATAGTTGACGCGTTCAAAAGATGTGGGGTAGCTATTTCAGGATACCATGATACCTCTCATCCCACGAGGCATAACGGGGCAGTCAACAAAGGCTTTTGATGTCTACCGCGCTGAGCCGACAAACAGCTGATCGGCCCAGCGCAGCAGCCATTTTGATGTAAATGAAGCGGCGATTATTTAAATCGCCGCTTCATTTTGCCATGTCTACGAAGCTCATCTACATGGCTCCCTCGGCGGAACCATGTAGTGTAGACATACTCCTTGTGTATGAGGGAAAAGGACATGTTCACTCATTTCCTGTCTGTGAGGAAGTCCTCAGCCAGCACTTGAGAATTATGCTGCTCAACTGGCAACACGGGTTTGGATAGGTTAGCAATCCATTTGGGACTACTTGAACAACTGTGATAGCTAGCTAGGGCAAATGAACTTCTTTAGTCTCTCCTTGTCAGTTTATTCAACTACTAGGCTACACATACTGGATGAGTGCTCTAGGTTGCACTCTGTACCTTATTTACACATACTGTGCCTAGTACAATGGGACCTTAACTGGGTTTCTTCAGGTTGAGAGAGAAAACTAGACAGCAACTGCAAATTATAGGCTGCCAGTATATCAAGTACAGACTATTCCACTTCTCCACATAAGGCAAACATTATGTAAAACTATCAAAGGTCAAAGTGCCCTGATCAACCTGTGAATAAATACATAGGGAAAAGATATCTGAAACTAGAGGGCTTTAATCTGGCAGGCAGACTTAACAAGCTCCAAATCCAAAAAAAGGCCTATGCTATAATAGGGGCTTACTGTAAGACAATAACATGGGCCACATTAAGTCAACGCTGTTTGATGGCTGGTCATTTTCTTCCTCCAGGTGAGTCTCCCTGCTTTCTGTTCCCTGGGATCTAAATCTTTCATAATCCAGACTTATAGATGGTCACACTGGGAGTTTCTCCCTAACTCCAGGCCAGTTTCTCCCTAACCCCAATCAATGAAAATCTACAAAGTGATCTAACAGAGAGCATTATAATCTTGTGTGAACCCCTATTATAGCATAGGCTATACAATTTAACCTGGCAGCTCCTGCATCAAGCCAACAGTAAGTGGCTGAATCAGATTTTTTTTTTTAATGTATAATCTTGATTTGAGGACACCAAGTCATGGAGAATTTCACATACCTTGGCAACATTATAACCCTTAATGTCAAAATTGTATTTTATTCCAAGTTGAATTTTTCTGACTTGAGCCTTCATTTTTGGAACTAATCAAGTCTGAAGGCTACCCTATTTCAGGCTTCTCAGTTAGAAAGGGCAAAATAAGGGGGCATCACTGCATACAGCAGTCCACACTAGAAATACTCAATGATGATAGAAGAGAACAGAGTATAATGGGAGAGATGTTTCTTCAATGCCAACATTCATCACCATCAGCACTTTGAGATACTCTTGTAAAAGGCATGATTAAGTGAAATGTAATCCCTACCATCCTCATCTGTGCTCACATGCAAATTGTGCTTTAAATAGTTGCCAAATTATATGGATCAGGGGACCAAACCCTTCTTCAGACACTAGCTTTCCTACAATCCTTCTCAGACAGCACAATATGAGCCCTGTTTGTGCAGTATAGCTACCTCTTACCTATCCAGGTCATAGAGAGTGTGAGAATTCTCTATCACCACCTCTACACCAGCTTCCTTGGCCAGTTTGATGATAGCTGCATCTCTCTCCTTTCCAAATGGTTCAGAATCATATTCAAAGGTAAGACGGGTCACTCCCCATTCCTGTGAAAAACACAAAACAAAAGTTGTCATTATAGATACCAGATCCTTAGAAGCTAGGATGGTCACTGAAAGAATGACAAAGATGCCATAAGGTCATGCCAATGAGGCCTTGAGATTTTATTATAGATACCAGATCCTTAGAAGCTAGAATGGTCACTGAAAGAATAACAAAGATGCCATAAGGTCATGCCAACGAGGCCTTGAGATTTTGCTTTACAGGATGCTAGGACATGATGAAAGATACCATGGAGGGCGCCCTGTGGACAGATGTGGCAACAATACACATGGAATAAAGAATCAGGGATATGTGCTATCACCTCTATAAAAAGGTCTGGATAAGAATCTTAGCATTATACTAACTCATGTTACTAAACTCCAGGATTATAGACATTTAAGAACCTCTTTCCTCTCTCCTCCCTAATACATATTCTTTGTCTGCACTGCTCTCAGTTTGATACCACTCCAATGCTGAAATATTAGGGTTACAAATTGCAAGGGAAATGCTCAAAAATAGCTTAAAACTTATACTGAAAAACGGCCAAGGAGTTTAAGACAAAAATGTAGGTTCTGAAGTAAAGTTTTTCCAAAATCCCCTTGAGGCCACCACACAAGAGTTTTTCAAGCTTTGGGAGCCGCAGATGCTAGGCCAGGCAGAAACTCCACTTCCAACTTATTGCTGGAACGGGAGTTCTGGGTCTCTGCTAGCAATGTTATGTGCCACCAGAGGTGTGGCCTGAAAGAACAGATGTGAACTGGAGGAAAGCAGGCTTTGCTACAAAATCTGCAGAGGTGCTATTTCAGATTTCAATGGAAGAAGCAATTTTCAGTGATGTTCCAGGGATTAAAAGACATCTAGCCCAAATCTGAGTGGCACTGTGATGCCATGGGCCAGGTTGGAATGCCACTCAAATCTGCCCAAGTTACCTTTCAGGCAGCAATGTCACTTAAATTTGGCCTGGCCCCTACTCTGTAGCATGACAAGAGGTGGAACCAGATCAAATGTGAGTGGTGCCACGACCCCCTTGTAGTAGGTCAAGTTGCCAACCACCAGTGCTTTGCAAAGTGTTTTTGTACTGATTTAGTAAAGGGATGTCCCTTATAACACAGGGACATTAGCAACTCTTCACTGGAGGAAGGAGAAATCAGAACAAGAGGGACTGGGTTTCTTCCCAGAATAGCACAGGAAGATGCTGGAATCCAGACTTGGAGCATTCATTCTCCAAATAGTGGTACTGTTTTTGCCTTATCCAAGATATGAACCTGGCAATATATCAGACAACACACACCTGTATAACACTTTACAGACTGCATGAACTTGGCTCTGAAATACACAGACCTGAGAAGAATTGGGCAACTGCACTGCCAATTTCAACCCTTTTCAGAACATGATATGCTCTCTGAATCCACAGCGTTCATTTGTTGAGAAATCTAGGCTATCAGAAGGGAGTTAGTGTTTTCCACTGTAATACTCCGGATGGCACTGTCAAACACTAACCAAATGTGTGGGCTGCAGGAAACACTCTGAGAAAAATCAAATAAAAAAGTCCCAAATAGGCGGCTTCAAATTAACATGGGGTCACATTTTCTCATTGAAATGGCATGGGATGTCCTTCCCCTTATGCTCTAGAGATCCAGTCAATTCTGAATAAGTTTGGGAGGCTTTTCCTTTTCCTGAACAAGAGCTGAGGGTTGAGTGCAGCCAGCAACATAAGCACAATGCAACAAGAAGAGTTTTGCAATCTTGCATACAATTACATAGATACAATGATGCTGAGGTGGGGGAAATGTTAATGGTTAACTGTTAAGGCCTGGGCCGCAGGCCCAGATCCCCTTCTCCCCCCGGTTTAATCATTTAACCAGTTAAACATTATGTTTAACCGATTAACCAATTAAATGGGATTTTATTTCCCTAGCTCATAGCAGGAAACAAGTGTTTCTTCCTCAAAAATAAGTCCTGTTTAGACTGCCTCCTTGGCTGCTACCATTGTTGGAACTGTATGCTTAAAAACTGGTTTGTAAGAACAACATAAAAACCATTCTTAGAAATGCAATGGGGCAACACATTACAAAGTCAATATCCACTCCCTTTCAGCTTCAAACTTCCTGGCTATTATTTGCCTTTCCCCAAACTAAGAAATATACAATTGACAAAACACACTATCCAATGGTTTTAAAAGTCCTTCAAAGCCAGTTCTCTCCCCCATATTGGAACTTGATTTGTCAAATCAGATTTAATTATACAATTGTTTAACAAGGGACAATGTCACTGGGTCACACACAAAATACAGGTTTGATTAAAAAGAACAT